TGTTAGTCTTTTTCACCTCCAAATACATACTTCTACATATGGATACGGTTCGACAGCAAGGTCAAACATCACCCCTGCACCTTCCGCCCAAGTCTCTAATCATGTGATTAAGTCGAGAGAGGGGAAGGAAAAAGAAGAATAATTCAGTCAGGGGTTGGTGCTATAGTGCAAGGGTTCATGTACAAGGAGCAAAGACTATGTCGTGGAGGGTACTATGAACATTTACATATTGCTCAATAAAAAAATTATAATCCCGACACATCGCCGTAGGGCAAAAGTGTCCTAAGTGCTAGAATACCAGCTCAGCACATCAAAAACTCGACCAAGTTAAAACGAAGTAACAAACTGGTAATTACATAGATAATAATAGTTGCATAATAATGTTGAATATGATTAAATGGCAAGTCATAAAAATGAATCATTTAATCAACATTCGCAGTTAAGAAATTATTGTGCTATATCATATCACATTGCACGTACATAACTATAGAATAATAATGGGTGAAACGGACAGATGAATAATTCATCTCATGACTAAGAGTTTACAACCTGGACACATTCAGACTATAGATATTGTGACTTAGTTCATAAAATTATACTTACTTGAAAGTATCTCTTTAAAAAACCCAAAACAACAAGAACAAGAACAAGAACAAGAACAAGAACAAGAACAAGAACAAGAACAAGAACAAGAACAAGAACAAGAACAACAACAAGAACAACAACAACAACAACAACAACAACAACAACAACAACAACAACAACAACAACAACAACAACAACAATAACAGCAACAACAAATACCCCTCGATATAACAATATTTATATGTTCATGTCTGTGGCAGAGAAGAGGTTCTGGAATCTTTTATTTAGCATTGCAAACCTTAGAAAGTAACGGAAAAGAGGAACATTTCAACACGGGCGTGCCATAATGTATCAAGAGAGAGAGAGAGAGAGAGAGAGAGAGAGAGAGAGAGAGAGAGAGAGAGAGAGAGAGAGAGAGAGAGAGAGAGAGAGAGAGAGAGAGGGATGGAAGAGAGAGAATGAGAGAGACACACACACACACATACTCTTTCTCTCTAGACACACACACACACACACACACACACACACACACACACACACACACACACACACACACACACACACACACACACAGATAGATAGATAGATAGATAGATAGATAGATAGATAGATAGATAGAGATAGAGAGAGAGAGAGAGAGAGAGAGAGAGAGAGAGAGAGAGAGAGAGAGAGAGAGAGAGAAAGAGAAAAAGAAAGACTGAGACCGAGAGACAGAGACAAAGAGACAGAGAGATCAAAGATAACCAGTGATGTAAAGGTGACCAAAAACTTAGTGACACGTCACGAGAATTTATCAGAAGCAAATTTCCTGTCTTTGAACAAAGAAGAGTTGCATGGGAAGCATCCACTTCTGGGACCTTTTCTTACCAAAATAAAAAAAGTTCACCTCTCAATGTGGACACACGTGTGGCACCATACATCAAGTAAAACCGGAGACTAATCCTTAGCGTTTTCAGACAAGACAAGGTCTTTCCAGTCTATAGCTATTTTCGTAAACCGATTATTGACATTGACAGAGTAGACTCTTTCAGTAATACATTAATTTTCTTTTTTGTTTAAATACAACACAGGGGCCTTCCTTTCTACACTTTTTACTTTCAGGCCATCTCTCCGAAAGTTAATAATTAATCTGGCTGATGTCAAGCATTTCGAGAAGCTTGACAAAAAGGAAGAACAGCCGAAGCTGCTGTCCAAGACAGTCAACTGTACAAACGACAACTTCACACTTCCCCCGTGTATGTTTGGTTGTTTGTTTTTTTTACATAATATGTTCACCGTTCACCCCGACAATGGATGATCGTCTTGAACAAGTTCGACTATACTTGATAAAGTTCCATCGTTGGGGTATAACCAAACAGTTGAAAAAAAGGGAATACAGAAGCTGATCGATGTTTAGCGAAGGTATTCAGGTCTGGCTTGTGATGGTCTTGTCACGGCTAATCCCAACTCTTTCTACACTATTATTTTGTTTTCTAACTTTATATGCTCATAGACTTGAATTATAATATCCTGGACTGGGCCCTGTCATAGCCACCAATTTTTAACTACACCTGTATTTTGATTTCACTCTTACACTCACTGTTGTTGTTGGTGTTTTTGTTTTGTTTCTTATTCCCAGCTTCTAACGGTGGTTTTAATCCACTTCACATTTCTATCCCAAACATTGTTGTATCATAGGAGATGTGACTAACTCTATTTTTCAATTTCAGTTCTCCAGTTTTCTATAGGCACAAGTAACATATCACACATTATACCCCGTATGCCAGCTTGGAGACATAGAACAATGTAAAAAAAAAAAAAAAAGCAACCGCGTCCTAACTTACAACACTTATATTATTATAAATTACACAGTGTCAGAAAAAAGGTCGGGTAGCCTTCTTTGATATAAACCAAGAGGGCGCTGCATTGCGAACGAAAACGCACACGACAAATGGACTGAATCGAACCCGTATCTACAAGGTGAGGCACGTTAGAGCGAAGTCTAAGAGAGTTCTACATCTGCACAGCATCATGATAAGCTGGATCATACTGTGTGCAAACGGCAGAAGATATTCGGAGACGTCTCTGGCGAGCACTTAGGAACTTTTTGGAGACGCACTCCCGCACACAGATGCACTGCCATGCTTCGTAGGGTCAAACTGCGCATTTTTTTTTTTTGCTGCAGATCACACATATGGCCACTTAAACTGTTGCAAATAAATTATTTTCAAGAAAATTTCAGACTTCACTGCAAAATACCAAAATATGCGTGAAAACAGGCGGCCATGAACTCCCCAGATTTTTTAAAAACAACTCGGCCTAGAGGCACCAAGCATTTTGATTGGTCTATCTCCGTCAGAGACGTCTCCGGATAGATACTGAGTGTGCAAACTCCAAAACACAGCTAAATAAAATAAGACATGTCGTTAGAACAGATAGCAGAGAACATTATGAGAGATTGGAGACGGTGCAAGGTGGATGACGGGAGAAACAAAGGTGAGTAGAAGTCTACTTGAGCCCTACTTCATAATATTCGGAACTTGCTTGACCCACTACCCCCGCACGGAGTCTCCACGCTCTGTGGGGCTACGTCATGTGGGTTGTCTTGACGTCATACTCAGTACACGCTGTAACTTTTTTTCCAATAATGAGAAGGAAGGGGGTGGGGGTGGTTGGGG